CTGGTGGAACTTTACCAGCATTTCTCTGCCTGCTGTGGTCAACCAGTCTGAATGCAACTGAGCCGTGGGGAACTCAGAATACCTGGAGATCTCCATCAGGGCTTTTGGCTGCACATCATGCTTGTCTGTTCAGATGTCAGGCTGTCTCTGACACTGCCATGTTGCTGTGTACTCAGAGCATTCTTAGTTGCTTTATGCAGTTCATTTCCATGAAGTTTGACCCAGGAGATGCTGAATTCTTTGTGCTCCCGGAAGCTTGCTGTCTACAGCAGCACCACAATGGAAATGTTTTCCATCTGTGCCAATCACTGTGGTAGCCACTAACCAGTGGCCATTGAGCACTTGAGATGTGGCTAAAGCAACCAGGGACTGCACTTTTATTTTATTTTATTCTAGTCATTTAGATTTAAAGAGCTGTATGAAACTAGTAGCTACTGTACTGGACAGACAGTTCCGATTGGAGACAGATAAGGAGGCAGGAGACCCGAATGAGGCAGAAGGACTATTCCGATATAGAGAGGCACATCCAGTGTGCCTGCGGGTGTGCCATGGGAAAGGATCACTTCCAGGGTCAAGATCAGGAAGGACCTCAAGGGGTAGTTGATACATCCACAGGGGTACAGGGGAGGGCAACAGTACTCCAGGTGGAGGACAGAGGGCATGGGAGTGTTCAGGACACCTTTGGCTGCACTAAGCTCTGTGTGGCAGAGGAATGGAAGAGAAAGGAAGGTGCTAAGCTGCAGACCTGAGCAATAACCCAGTCTGCTGGGTTATTGCAGGAACACACTGACATCATGTCATTTGGACAGCAGGCCAGGTGTGGATGGCGGGAAGCTCTCAGTTAATAGCAGCAGTTATTGGCTGTCAGAGGTATTGGAGGTGGTTGTGTCTGTATTTGCTTTCAATAGCTGGTTTTTAAAATTACTTTTTGAGAGCCTTATAAAGTGTGAAGTTGTGAGAAATAATACAGAGAGATCCTCTGTGCTCACAACCATGACAGAAGCACTGATGCAGTCAGTGTACCATGTAACCCTTCAGCATGGATCCCTCCTGTTGCCTGCTTATAGCCAGCAATCCTTCAGCACGGATCCCTCGATCCCTCACGTTGCCTGTTTATAGACAAACCCACTGGTCTCCTCCCATCCTCTGCACTCCAGGCAACTGTTAAATGATTTACATGTTAATGTTTTTGTTATTTTAAGAATGTTATATAAATGGATTTGGTGTAATTCTCTGGAGATTTATTCAGGTTGTTGCACATATCGATAATTTGTTGCAACTGGGCACAGTGGCACACGCCTGTAATCTCAGCTGCTTGGGAGGCTGAGGCAGGAGGACCCTAAATTTGAGACCAACTCAGGCAACATCATGAGACCCCACCTCAAAAAACATGTTTGTTTCTTTTATCAAGTGCTATTCCATGGTATGGATATACCATAGTTTGACCACTTGTCTCACTGAAGGATGTCTGGGTCGCTTCCAAGTTTGTCTATTACAAATAAAGCTGCTACAAACATTTTTATTTCTCTGAGATAAAAACCCAAGAGCCCAACTGCTATGTTATATGATAGCTATAAATTTAGTTTTTGAAGAAACTGCCCAACTGTTGTCCCCAGTGACCGTGCCCACCAGTAATATATAAGTGAACCAAGTTTTCTTTTTTCTTTGTCAGCACTTGGAGTGGTCCCTGTTTTTTATTTTAGCCATTCTGATAGATATGTAATGATATCACATTGTGCTTTTGGTTTGCATTTTGAAAAGTTAATTATGTTAAGCATCTTATCACAATTCTTTGCCTAATGTATGTTTTCAGTGAAATGTCTGTTCAGATCTTTTCTCTACTTTTAATTGAATTTTTTTAACTGTTGGGAAAAATCCTAAAATTTATATCAAATGCAGATCCTTTTAAAATATAGGATTTATGGGTTTTTATATAGTTGCAAAGTTGTGCAACTAGTTTCAACACTCAAAAAACAAAACAAAAAACTCCATACCTATTAACTCTCATTCTCCACTCTTTCCTCCCCTGGTCCCTGGCAACTATTAACCTCTTTTCTAGCTCTATGACTTGACTTATACTAGACATTTCATATAAATGGAATCACATAGTATGTGGTTCTTGTGTTTGGATTCTTTCATTTAGCATGAATGAAGAGTTCATTCATTCTGTTGCATGCCATTCCTTTTTATGACTGCATATTACTCCACTATACATAGGAATCTATTACTTTTTGTTTATCCATTCATCAGGTGGATATTTGCATTGTTTGCACTTTTGGCTATTTGAGCATTTGTGTACAAGTTTTTGTGTGGGGATATGTTTTCCAAATAGAGTGGTATTGCTGGTTCATATAGCAACTCAATTCTTATTGTTTTGGGAACTGAAAAACTATATTCCAAAGCTGCTATAGCATTTTATATTTCCATTAGCAGTGTATGAGTGCTCCACTTTCTTCACATTCTTATCATTTGTTATTGTCTTTTTATCATAACCATCCTTTTGTTAAATGAAATCTCATGTTCTTTAGAGAAATATGCATTCAAATCCTTTGCACAATTTTAATTAAATTATTAAGATTTTTTACTATTGAGTTCTAATATTCTGGGTTGTATCCCTAACCAGATGTATGATTTATAACTTTTCCCCATTCTATTTGTTTTCTTTTTACCTTCTTGATAGTGTCCTTTGAAGCCAAAAGTTTTAAATTTTCAGGGTTTTTTTTGGTACCAGAGATTGAACTCAGGACCCTGTGCTTGCGAATCAGACAGTGGAACCAGAGCTAAATCCCCCGCCCTTGGTGTCCTTTTTGAAAAGCACTCTTCATAGATGTGTGATGTATTTCTGGACTGATCTATTTTTCTATCTCATGTCAGTACCTCAAAGCTTTAATTACTGTAGCTTTGTAGTAATTTTGTAGTCAGGGAGTGCGAGTTCTCCAACTTTGTTCCTTTTATTTACAACTGCATTGGTTATTCTGGGTCCCTTGAATTTTTATGTGAATCTTAAAATCAGCTTGTCCATTTATGCAAAAAAAAAAGGAAGCTGATATTTCAATAAGGATTGCACTGAGTCCCTGGATTGATTCAATCATATGCCATATAACAATATTAAATCTTATGATCTACTGATTTATTTTTACTCCTTCCCTTTTTTAAGGTTTTAGTATCATTCAGTGATGTTCTGTCATTTTAAGTGTGTAGGTATTTATTTACTCAGTTAGCAGCACTGGGGACTGAACTCACTGTGGGCTTCTCCATGAGCTACACACCCACCCTTTTTTATTTTTTATTTCGTGGCAGGTTCTTCCTAGCTTGTTCAGGCTGGGTTTAAACTTGCAATTCTTTTGTTTCAGCTTCCAAGGGTGCTGTACCACAGCCATGTACCACCTCCCTGGGCTCTTTACTTCTTTTGCTAAATTTATTCTTATGTATTTCATTCTTTTTGATATTATTATAAGTGGAATCAATCATTTTTAGGTTGCTTATTCCTATCATATAAAAATACTACCAGCTTTTCTATATCGTTCTCATCTTTCAATCGTGCTGAACACATTTGTTAGCACTAATTGTTCTTTTGTGAATGTGTAGTCCTAAAGATTTTCTAAATACAACATTATATCATCTACAAATATTTCCTTTTCCATACTATATGCCTTTTTTCTTTTTTCTTAATTGTCCTGTCTTCCAGAACAATGTTGGAGAAACCAAATGTCCTATCTTGTTCTTAATCTTATGAAATTTTTCAGCTTTTTACTATTAAGGATAATACAGTGGGCCCTTGACTTATGAACACCATCAGTTCCCAAGGGTTGGCTGTACCTAAGTCAATACAGCTGAGATTGGAATGTTTAGCTGGGTATGTGCTATTGATAACAACAGGCAGATGAATCTTCTAATTAACCCAAATTATGTCAGGCAATTGTAACTTGAGGGTTCACAGTATTAGGATTCTTTTTATGTCTTTTAAAATCTGTTTAGGATTATGTTTATTTTTAAATTATTTTATTATACATGGTAACAGAAAGTCCAAACAGTAAGATGTAAACAAAATTCCAAATTCCATCACCATCAATACACTTATAAACTTTTTGTATGCATCACATATGTATATGTAAAATACAAGTAATTTTTAAAAGTTGCTTTTTTATAAACAAGATTTCTTCTCATTCAATACTGTTTCATCACTGTCTTTCCATTCATGTGACCAAGGATTTATACCATCGTTTTACTGCCACCCATATTCTACTGTAAGATTGAATGATTATTTAATTCCCTCTGAATGAGTGTTTATTTCCTTTTCCCTCCAACTATTATAGACAAGACTGTGATGAACACCCTCATCAGGTCCTGGCCAATACTATGTGTTGTTATGACTTTCTGGGTTTTTGGGTTGATTGATTGGCTTTGTCAGATCATCACAATAGGTTTGGGGGCAGGGAACTATTACCATCGGAATGAGACTTTAGAAAGCTAACTGTAGCATTCCCAACTTGCTTTGTGGTCTTGGTCAAATCCTGTTCCTTCTCTGGCCTTCAAATTCTTCAGTCTTGGACTGAAGAGTTTTGTCTAAATTCTTGGTTTTCAAACAAGGCTGCATATTAGAATCACCTGGGGGATTTTTAGAAACACAGTTACTGGAGTGCCCCCAACCCTATGCTGATTTAATTAGTAAGGGATATACGACCTGGACAAGAGGCTTCTAAAAATCAACTTGGGACTGTATGAGCTTCAGGAGCTCCTTGCTTAAACATTCTTCCAAGGAGGAGCTGTGTCTTGGCCACCTGCTCAGGGGCAGGCTATTATGGAGCAGACCCGGGCTTGAATTTCAGTTCTTTTGTTCTGGCTGTGTGACACTTCTCTGCACTCCATTCTCTTGCTACTAGAGAAGTGTCTAAAATCCCCACCTAACACTCATGGCCTCTGCCAGCAGGGGTGGTTTAAATATGGTATACATGGAATGTGTGGTGATTATTGTGATTTTTTTTCTTTTGGAACTAAAGAGCCAGCCCCTGGGCAACAAAGTAGAAATGGAGATTGTGAGCATGCTGGAGAAAAACACAACACTTCTCAAATTTGGCTACCACTTTACCCAGCAGGGGCCCCGACTGCGAGCGTCCAATGCTATGATGAATAACAATGACCTCGGTGAGTGGACATCTGCTTTCTGCCCTGTCCTGCCTGTCCTTCCCTCTACCTGTAGTGGGTGTGTCAGGGAGGATCCCCAGGTGCTGTCTGAGAGTCTTCTTGAGTGAGCTCCTGATCCCATCTTCCTAGTTTCTGTGTTTATGCCTTGTCTCCTCCCCTGGACTGAGGCCCCAACTTCCGGAGATAGGGCTGACTGGTCCTCCCTCGCAGAGGGTCAGCCAGAGGAAATGAGATCTGGTAGGGCACAGCTCTCTTCTTTTCTGAATCACCTTCTCTGGACTCCTAGAGTCCTCTCCAGAGCACACTGCCTGGCTTTCACCCCAAGTTCTAATGCTACCAACCGATACTACTTCAAAATCCTAAGTGTAGGAACCTTCACACTGTTTCTAAGGAAAATTGAAAATGGCAATTTCATAGTAAAATAAAAGATTTTACTCATTTAATCTCAGTTAAAGGCATAATTGAATGTTTTTCTAAAAAGAAAAAATGTCAGTCTTTTTCGATGAGGAGAATGCATTAAGCAGTACACAAGTCAACTGAATGAAAAGCAAGATCAATCATTCACTTCCAGATGCCAATTGTTCCCAAGCTCTCCGCATAGTTATATACTGTGTAAGTTCCTGATGGCTCTTAAAAGGAGCTAGTTTGGTGTATAATCAAGGTAGTATGACTGATAAGGCTACAGAAAAATAAGAAATATAAGCATAGGCCTGTATTGTTTACATGATTGAAGAGTATATTTAAGCCATTGTTTCCTAAAACCACAGCAGGAACAAGACAAACCTAGTCACATCATTATTACAGGAAAGGAAGCATGACTTAAAAAAGAAGTTTCTTTCTTGATTAAATTATGAAGTATGTGTTTTAAAGACACTGTCTTCAGTGAGTTCTTCAAATTCACACTTGCTCTACACACAGCTCTTTCTAGTTTTCAGTCCTCAATAAATTGCGAAGCACCTAAGGCTGATTCAGAGTGCAGGTGTGTGGCTCCTTGGTATCTGAGTTAACAGTGCACAGGAGAATGGAGGTTAAGTGCGCAGCGTGCCCACACGGCAGGTACTCACGGACCCAGTGTGCAGAGACAGCCACTGAACTCACACACTCACATTCACACACTTTAGATTGAGTCACTCTACTACATGAACATTTGTCAAAGGGCTCTGCGGCACCAGGTGTTGAAGATGCAGGTTCTTGCTTTTAAGCCTATCAGAGCCCCGGGGCCACAGGCCACTGTTTTCCCCTCAAGCCTCAGGTCAAGAGAAGCTCATTTAAAAAAAAAAAAAAAAAAAAGGTACTTGATGTTTTGGTTTATCTGAAGTTTTCTTATTTGAAATAAAATACGAACAAAAACAAGATAACTAAGAATCATAATTACTATTGTCATATCCCAGAGGTGATAGCTAAACAAAATCATTAAAGAGGCCAGCAATCAAAATGCACTTCAAATCTTATTCTAACAACAATAATTTCACATTTTTTTCCTCTCCCAACTATAGATTAAACTTACAACACCCTTAAGGCCTATCTCTGGGATAACCCAGTTTTGTCTTTCCTGGTCTGGAGGTTTTTTCTTTTCTTTTCTGGGGACAAAGGTTCCGAATGACTAGTGCTGAGGGCTGTTGCATGGGCTATCAGAATCAGTTGGGGTTGGACAAAAGGGTCTCTGAGAATGTTCCCAATCCTGATCATTAGGTTCCAAAACTTGGGCCTATCTTCCATCACAACGGTCTCTGAGGCCACTTTGGAGCCTAGAATGCTAGAATGGAAGGGACCTGGGGCTCAGCCTCCAAGTTCCTTCTAGAAAAACTGAAGCCTGGGTTGGGCTGGAAGTGGTTGGAGCCCATGGCTCATCCAGATCATACCAGTTGTTAGTTGTAGCATTTTCTGAGTGATTCTGGTGTGCCCAGGGCTGTGCCAGGTGACAGAAAGACCAGTTCTCTGACTCAAGAAGCGTTACAACCTTGTAGGGCAAAAAGACTCAAAGGCATTATTAAAAATTCAAGAATGCCTGTACACTCTGTCCAAACAGTGAGGAAATGATTTATGAGGCCAGAGCCAGTTAGGCAAAGCACCCTGGTGGGTGGGGCTTTAGCCAGCCTTGAAGAGAAAAGACAGGTTGATGGAAGATCAAGAAGAGTGCCTACAAGGGCTCGAGGAAGTGAGAAGGGGTGCTCAGGGTACGAAGACAAGGTGGCTGACCCAGTCCACCTAATGGCAGAGGCAGGAAGATCAGAAGGGACTGGAGGAATTGTTAAAAGGAGTTTAACTTGGAAGAAAAGCTGGTTCACAAAGCAGGAAAGGAAGCACATTGGTGCAGAAGGGACAGCACGAGCAAATATGTACATGTTCATAGAAATATGGCTGGCTACCTATCAGGGAGGCTGGCTTCAAACCCTTTAACACTAAGTCAGAACCTTAGCAATGGAAGCAGGTGGGGAGTGGAAACCATGGCAGTTTCCTGAATGGGGATACCAGGTGATAAAACGGACCTCAGGGTTAACCCAGGGACCTATCAGCTGCTCCTATCAGCTTTGGGTTTCCCACCGAAGGAAGGAGAGCAGAATCTCAGTGATCACAGGCCACATTCACATGCTAGTTGCAGAAGTATGGTTTCTAGATTTAAAAGCAGATTTGTGCCTTCCTGGTAATTTTCAGATAAGAAGCACTTCTGATTCCCATAGTGGACCGGCTTCTTTCTGCAGAACTGTTTCTCTAACATAGTATCCCCTTCTGCTCTGAGTGCTGTGAAAAAGAGGATTTCGTTTTCCAACTGATCACTGATAGCATAAAAGCCTCCTGCTGTCCTCGTCAGGACTGTGGTGAAGCAGAAAGCACAGACCAGGAAAGGACAAGCCTCCCTGGTGTCGTCCTTGGCCTGCCTGGAGGCTGGCTCAGGGCACATGGCTAGGGCCAGTGCAGGGCTTGGGCTTTGCCTGCCCGGGACCCAACCTGACTGGTTCATCTTTGCTCCTTCCCTCCCTGTGCACGGAACTCTCTGCAGACCGTCTCCATGTGTAAGTGCAGAACACCACGCTGTAGGTGTCAGGAAGGAGCCAAGCTGTAGCTCCCATCTACATTTTCCCACACAGTGGCTCAGATGACTTATCTGCACACTATTTATAGCAAATACCAGACAAGTGTTGCCCTCTGGTCCTTTAAATTTGCCACCAGAGCCTTCTCCATTTAAAATGTGAATCACAGCCTCCAAGTTAAGACAGTTGGGTGGAATGCAGAGGGGTATGGAGAGGGAGTAACACATTTAAAAGCACAGAACAGGGCTGGGCGTGTGGCTCAGTGGTTCTGCCACTTGCCTTGCAAGCACAAGGGCCAGAGTTCGAGCCTGGGTACCAAAAAAGAAAAAAAAAAAAAGCAGAGAACAGCCCTTTCCAGGAGAGCTGCTCTTTTACTATATTCTCCTAAAAGTCCTTTCTAACAAGCACCTCAAACACAGTTCTTTAATTTTATTATAAATTGAAATTTGTACTTATATGTATTTATATAGTGAAGTGATGATTTATGAATATAATGTGGAATAATTAAATCAAGCCAGGTGACACACCTACCACTTCACATATTTACCATTTTTTGGTGGTAAGAAATTTCAAAGTTACTTTCTTGCAATTTTGATGATAAAATGCACCATGCTATGCAGTAGGTCTAAAAAGGTATCCAGTTCCTGTTGTGTGAGTCCTTGTGTTGTCCTGGTGTGTTGTGCCCCTTGACCTTCACCTCTCCATTCTTCTACCCTCCAGCCTCTGTCACCACCGTTCTACCTCTATGAGCTCCGCGGTTTTAGACTCAGCATGTATGTTGGAGTATGGGGCTTTGGTCTTTGCCCAGCTTATGTGCTCTAGCTCAGTCCCTGTTGTGGCAAATGGTGAAATTTCCATCTTTCTTAAGGCTAAATAGTATTGCATATATATCCCCCATCTTCTTTACCCATTCATCTGTTGATGAACATTTAAGTTAATTCTATGTCTCAGCAATTGGGAATAGCACTACAATGAACATGGGAGTGCAGCTATCCAACAAACCCAGTAAACACTCAGAAATGGGAAGGCTGGATCAATTTTGTCATTTTTCTCCAAAACCATCTGAAGGAAAAAGTGCTACTTTCCCCACAGCCACTCAAGCCAGATCTCTGGGCTCCCCCTGGACACTGACCCCACTCCTGCCAGCCAGGCACCTTGCCAACCCCAACGGCTGCTTCAGGACAAGCCCATCACATTTGCCTGGCCTCCCGCAACTTCCTCAGGCCTCCAGGTCCTGCAGGGAAAGGGCCTTGCAGCAGGGCTCATCCCAAAGCTTGTCCTCCCACTCCCCTCTTAGAAGCCCTGCTGGGCTCCTACTGCTGGGCTCAACTCCTCCTCATGGCTCCCACTTCTCTTAAGAGTCACATGGCACTTCCTGAGTCAGGTACTGTTCTGAACGTCATCCCCTCCACCACGTCATGCTATCATTATTCTCATTTTACAGTAAGGGCACAGGTCTGCAGAAGTAGGAAGTTACCTATTGTCTGTGGAAGAATTGGGATTCGAACTGACAGTCTGACTACAGAGCCTGTACGAAACACCTCATTAAGAGAGGGTCCCATCCACAGGCCCTCACTTGATGAGTCCTGCCAGACTCATTTCATGACATCCAGACAAGAGTACCACCTATCCCAGGTACCCTAAGTGCCCCCAAGGAACCCACGAACAAGCTTGCCTTTAGAAGGCCGTTACTCTGAATGTACCCCTCCTTTCCTATCTCTGGGGAGACTGACTACTTCATTCATGTGCCTCTCACACCTCACAGGGATCTGCCAGGGTACTTGTGATATATTATCAAAGTTACTATTTATACACATTAGCCCTGTTATGCTGTATCTTTTTATCTCTGATTCCTGCATTTGGCACACAGGAACACTCAGAAAATGCTACTGAATTATGTAAGTAAATAGAAAGGGCTTCACAAAGACATGATTGACAATTCAGCTGGCTAGAAGAGGCTCATGGCTCCTCTCTGTACCCCAACCATGGGCAGGCGGTACTTGGACTTCAGTACTGGCTCTGATGAGAGTTGTCAGGGTCTGTGGCTCCTTTCCTTCTCCAGAAGGAAGCTAATCCTCACGAGAGTCAGATGAGACAGGGAAATATAAACCCTAAGGAGACGAGGCCCAATTGCACTGAGGGAAAGGCTGGACTGAGGCTTGAGTGATAAGCTTTGGCTCTGTCTGGTACTAGTTTTACTGCTTTAAGAAAGAAACCTACCCTTTGCCTTCCTTTAATCATTTGTACAATGGGAATGTTGACATGTACATTCCAGAATTGCTACTGGTAGGGCTCGAATGAGGTACAGACACAACAGAAGCAGGACTTTCCTGGTATGTCTGCTGCACAAACATGGGGACACTGAACACCTGGCTCACAGAAGCTCTCTGATCACTTCTGCTCTTTAAGGTTTGGTTTTCCTGTATCTACTACCAAACTCTCTGATCACCTTGAGGAATTAGGCTGGTCACTATCTTCCCTCTAAGAGACTGCCAGGCCTGATGTGCACTCATTATTCTTTTGACGTAGGGTGAAGGGCAATGAGTAGGGGCTCAGGCTGATAACTGGTATAACTGTGTGACACTGAGGACTTCCTCAAAGCTACCAGCTCCAACTTGACAAGCACACCTCTCTTGTGGGTCTACTTATATGCTCACGGGGTCATGCACAAGCTGGTTTGGTTCTTGCTGCAGCTTCTGTGTATCAACTGCTGACTCCAAGTCTAATTATTTCAGCTAGGAAACTAAAGACATCCAAGAATACTTTCTGCCTCTTAGCGATAGCTTCTGGTCTGCCATATCAACCAGCCCTTTGTCTAACCTGTCTCTACAGACTTTCTTAACCTTTTTCTCTTGTGGTTGATCTAACTTGCTAATTGGGTCTTCATTTGGCAATGCTGTACTTCAACATTCTCTCATTACAACAAAGGGACCCCACCGCCCCTCAACCTGATATGCTTTCTTTAAACTAATGTCACCAGCTCACAACCTCCTGGGTAATACTTTTTTTTTCCTCCAGAGCTAGGGATGCAACCCAGGACCTCACACATGCTAGGCAAGTGATCTACACTGAGCTATATCCCGTGAGGCCTCAGTAAAGGAAAAAATGGTCAAGTCCAGTAGAGTGAGGCTGTGTGCTTAGACATTTATAAGAGATTTATGGATGCATCTACACTACCACAGATCCTCATCAGTAAACATGGAAAAACTGAGTGCACCTTCACACATAACTGTCCTCAGAAAACAACAGACCTCTGAATTTTCTCACAACAGATGGGCAAGAGGCTTCACATGCTTTTTGGAGCTACAGTGGTACACCGTGGTGATTCCTGGTGTGGAGGTACAACTGGCTGATATTTCACCTCCATTTTTTTCCAGTGAGGAAGAGGAGGCTCGCAGACTTGACAGGGCCCATCATTCCCAAATGCCGCAGTGGTGTCTAGTGTGTGGAGGTGAAGACCATGCCTTTGAACTGGACATGCTCTACTGACAATCTGTGTTCTGCAGTGGAGACCAGAAGGAAAAATATTGGCAAAAATATTTTGTGGTTCAGTTCTTATGCACTAAGGTTTTAGGTTAGTGGTTGTAGTTGAAAATTTTATAAAATATGGGTAATGTGAAGTTTTATCTTTAGTCACAGAAGTTCAGTCTGATTATTATTTAATAACAAAGAAACCCTCAAACTGGCAGATCTTCCTGCAGATGATGTGATAGTGGCAATGACTTAACCCCTGAATCCCTGATTGGTGGCTTCACTGTGTGGTGTTTCAAGAAATTTATAATATGGTGTAACACACAAACAAATAGTACACTCTTTGACTTGTTTTGGGAGTATTACAAAACACTTTATTACAAATTTAATCTTAGCTATTTATCAAAAAAGAACAGATAACCACTCTTTAAGAACCTCAAGATTAAAGTTGCCAAAATGATTACTCCATCAAAAACACAATTTTACCCTCAAGAAAGAAAGACTGAAGACACAGAGCTCTGTCAAGGAAACAAAAACACAAGAGATTCCTTTTGCTGGATATGGGAAAAACTACAGAAAAAGGTAATGATCAAATTTCAAGATTCAAAAACCATCCTACACAACAATCACATTCTTCAGTGTTCTTTAGGAATTTATAATTGAAATTTATAATTGAATTTATAATTGAACACTGGAATCAGAAAGAACATTTTCCTTAATGAATGGATGTGAAAACCTATGGGCAAATACTTGAAATATAGTAGTACCTTTCTATTCTGCACAGTGGGCAAATGGCTTCTATAAGGCCACAGACTACAAGGGTGAATTTTCAGTCCACTGTGGCTATGGTACTTGGCATGGCCAAACTTACAGACTTCAACAACCTGTTTCATCACTTACCAGACAAATCAATGCTGATCTTAGGCCTGCAAATGAAGTGTCTGAAGGTATTAGACATTAGAAAATCCTGGTCAAACTACCTGAAGGTGATTATCCTGAAAATGTAATTCTGGTATTTCTACTGTATCCCTTTTTAATACCACACACATCATTTGGGAGCCAGCAAAAATGTTAAGCCACAATGCCCTTGTGCCTTTTAATATACCACAGTGCCAGTTTAACTAGTATTTCTGTTTGTTGCTTTGGGGAGTTATTTTCATTAGGGATGCAGCATATCTTACGATAACAGACAATGCCAAAGAGCTGATGAGCACAGACTATGAGGCTTCTGATGAAAAAGGCAAAGTCTTGCACACTGAACTATAATGAGTAGACAGTACAGGGTAACTAGAGGTGGAGCCAGGGCCTAACCACTAAGAAGAGTGTCTACTGAGGCTAAAAATGGGCCCAGGAGTGGCACCATGCTGCAGGGTGGCCATCCCCACTTGGCTTCTCCTTGAAACACAATTGCAGCTGCATTCTGCATCACTGGAAACTGCAACGTAATATTAAATCTGTTGGTCTATGTGTGGCTGTGTATGTATTTCTTGGGTCCTGTGTGACAGAGACATGTGCCCACATGCTGGCCAGAAGGCTGATGGCCACCATGGCATGACCTCACTAAGTGCTGAATGACCTAAGGGAAGTGTCTTGTGTCCCAGGTGCTGATCTACAAACTACTGCTCAAAAGCCAGTGCTATGGAGCTTATCTGAATCTCTCAGAGACAACTCATAAAAGCTAAAAGAGCATGTATAGGGGGAAGCAAGGCTACTGGGAGGAAAGGTCTCACAGAAACAAAATCAATAAAAAATGAAGGTGGGCCGTATTTCTAAAGCTGTCTCCATCAGAGACCCAGGGTTGGCAAACTTTTTCGTGAAGAGCCAGATTAAAATATTTTAGACCCTGTGGGTCATATGTTCTTTGTTGCAAGTACTCAATTATGCCACAAATCAAAGGTAAAGGAATGGGTGAGACTTTTCCAAGAAGTTTTATAAAAGCAGGAAGAGGGTCAAATACCACAGTTTACAGATCCCCTCAAATGCTCAAGGAAGATGGCAGGTGACTTAAGTGATTTGGGTTAGGAGTTTACTCGCTATGCCAGCACTTTTACAGTTCTGCCATTGGGATCAACAGGTCTGCTAAAAAGGGTAATGCCGATTAACAGTCCTACTGCATGGCAGAAAATAGGCACAACACAGTTAGCAGGCCCAAGGCTCTACACATCAACAGCTTTGAGATCCCATTCAGTCTGCCCTTTTCCCACACTCTTAGCATCTTCTAAATCAGATACACACTCAACTTCCTCTTCAATCCCTGTGAGGCATAGGTGGCCAACAGGGTGACCAGTCTGCCACGATGATACTGACCAGCACTGAAGTTCTCAATTTGTTTCCTTGACCCTGACATTTTCCTTTACACAGTTGCCCCAAACCTCTGTGAAGGCTTGGGGAATTCTGACTGTGCCACTCACACAAAGGCCCATCCTCACTAACAGTGTGGGCCCTGGCTCTAGACTTACAGGGAGAGTTCCCTTGGAATGCGTGGCCGCCGGGCTGTACACTCACATTCCTCTTTAAAGCTGTCCTGGGTAGGGCCTGAAGCCTGTCTGCTTCCTTTGTCTTGGCATGTGACACAACAGGCTGTGAATCCTTGTCCTTGACAGGAAGGACAGGTCAAAACGAGCTGGCGGCACTGCAGAGTAGAGCAGAGTTTATACTGGTCCCACTGGGCTCCACAGTATGAACATGCTAGGGAAGTAAAAAAAAAAAAAAAGCCCTTGTTAAACACACACACACAGATACTTCTCCCGTTCCTAAATATAACTCTTCACTCACCAGAATCTAGTACATTCTTTTGGCCCTGGGCAAGTTCTTAAATAGTCTCTTCTCTACTAACAGAGAAAATACTGTCCCTTGTTTTTGTCTGAGGAAGAAGGGCTATTCTTCTGGAAACTGTCTTTCTGAGTCCAGTATTCCCTGACCCATTTTTTCCCCCATCCAAAAACAGCTATTAATGCTTCTCTTTTACATTAGTTATCGCCAAACTGAACGTCTTGTTAAATGATCTCTTCCACTAGATCATTCGCTTTTCCACTAAGGACAGCACACCTGAATACAAGATGACCCTACATCTATTATCAGCTTCTGCAGTGCACAGCCTTCTCACCTGGGCTCGAGTCTCTGGCTGTGGCCAGGATGTGTGACCACCTGATGCTCATTATCTTCTCAGCCTGTTGCTTCCTGTCACCACTGATAACATCAGCCCTCCTCAAGTCTTCTCACCTTGCTTACATATGATATCTTGGGGCCTTTTCTCCCCTTCACACTCACATGCCTACCGCCGCTTATCAAGGCCTACCAGTATTCCTCTAAAATCACTCAACCCACTTTATACTTACTTATAATTTCTACTACATCTAGCTCCAAAAAAGGTCAGAAATGGTTTTCAATAGAAGATAAATATATGGCCATTATGCGTTAAAAAATCAAACAGGAGAGAACACAATCAAACTCAAAATCTTACTCGTTAAAATCTGAGAGATAATTCTCAGACCCTATTCACAGGAGTTCTAGAAACTGCAGTACCCACTGAGGTAGTCTGGGACAAGAGCTACCATTCTGAAGGACTGTTTCTACCCATCTTTCACTGACTATCAGTGTCTGATTCACCCCAGTGTACCAGTGTGGACTCAACACTGTAGCCAAACCAGAGGCTGTCTGTGCTGACCACCCTTTTAAACACTCCTGACTGTGGCCCTGGATTTAGCTCTCACCTTAGAGTATCCCATCCATCATTAAAAAGTGAAGTATGTGCTGCATGTGTCCACAGACCAGCTTACCAGGGATTTTTTTTTCCTTATTTTCTGCCATGGTTTTACTTGGTAGTCTGGTGAAGACTACAGACTGTCTTAGAAAAATTATTTTAAATGCACAGAATACATTACAAAGAAAATAAACTACACAGAAATACAAGGTATTAAAATGTTTTTCAAAATCTGTGAAATAGGCATTATTTACTAAAACACTAATAAGACTCAGTGGTGAACTTAATAACTATTTCCACCGTGAAGCAATATGAATATAAATGCTATTTTGAGATACAACAACTGTAACATGATGTCAAAGTAGTGTGAATTACATGAATTCTCCTGAAGACAAAGTCCCACATACATCTAATAGAACTGGTTTGTTGACTATATTCATAATTAAAGGAAATGATTAATTTTCAGAAGGAGTTCCTGAAAACAAAAATTATTTTCCAATCCAAATTCACAGAACTCTTAAATATATACTGACTGCAAGTTAAGGCCAGGTCTTCTCAGGCAAGTGGGGCAAGTGAGCTTATGCCTACTTTTAAGGACTTGCATAGCTAGTAGTACTTAGAACAGACAGGAGCCCACCACAGGCCTCCTCATTTCCCTGTTTTTTATTTTTGTTTTTTTTTCTTTCAGGCGATCAGTAATGGCTTGCCCTCCCTGTACAGCATTTCTATAATGATGAATTGATAGTGTGTGGGGTTTCAGTGGGGGCTCTGGCCTGTTTTGACCTACCTGATACCACATCACTGTTGTAGGACAAGGCATAACGCTCATCAAAAACAAATAACTTCCCCTTGTAAAAGCCATCAGGAAATTCTTCTAAGTATTTGTGGATACCACCCTTGAGCTGGAACACTTCCTTACACACTCCCTGGGTGTGGAAAAACAAGAAGAAACAGAAACCTAAAAGCTCCAAAGTGCCCAAGAGAACTCCGTGTCTGTGCTGTCAGCCTGGGGTTTCTGGCTCCCTCTGCAGGACCCAGGGTGATCAACAGGTCAAGGAAGGAACTGGCCAGACTTCGCCTACTAGGGGGATGGGTGATGACAGCAGTCAGGGCCTTCAGGCTCCAAGATCCTGGGAAGCTCAACTATTTTTGCTGCCCCCTAAATATAGGAAGACATCTGCTGGGACATGTGATGTTACTGAATCTGCTCTTCTTGGGATCAAGCAAAAGGATTAGGAGAAGGGAGATGTTAAAACTAAGCTTTCTCTTTTGTACTTGATGAGTCTCTAAGACTTAAGTGATTTTCATATCTTGAGATTTAAGAACCCCAGATTTTGCACTCCACTGGGACCCATACAAGGGAAAATACTACACTTGATCTTAGCCAAAAGGCCGAGAAGCGATATACAAGGGAAAATAAACCCTTGGGCTGGCTGAGGATGAAGCAGGGGATGAGGAGGGAGTGGAAAGCTTCACACAGGCCATTGGTGGATCGTTCTTCATCTCTGTAACTGCAGTGCCTACAGGATGGTGGCTCACCTGGGCTTTGAGATAGGCTGAACCACGCTCACAACGGATGCCCCCGGTGCAGTACATAAGCACTCTCTTTTCTCTGAACAGCTCTAGGTTCTTGTCAACATAGCTAGGGAAGTAACTGAATTTCCTGATGTCTGGGGCTAAGCAGCCCTGGAATCGTCCCTATAATATAGGAGAAAAATTATCAGAAAAACATACCTGGAAGAAACAAAGGTTCTTTCTGTTGTCAAATAACTCCCACCTTAGCAAAGAATATTTTCCAGTTGCTGTTCTCATCCCAAACTCTGACCTTTTAACCAAGATCTGGAACTAGAAACAAGGCTTGTGGGCCATGGGTCACCTTCCTACAGAGTCCTCAGGGGAACTGGAGAGGCTACCGGGGCCAATTTCACAAGACTGTTGACATGCCAAGGGTAGGATGTGTCATAGGAGTCAAAAAGTGTATTATGTGCCAACATGTCTTTAGTTCACATTTTTAGACTTTCTCACAGAACTTGGGTTTTCTTTGAAGCTGTTAGCGATGGAAGGAGATCCATGTGGCCACAAGTTCCCATTGAGAAATAAGTCATGCTGTGGGAAGAGCAAGACCTACCATTCGCTAAACTCAATTCTGATTCTTACTCACTATTTTGCTTTCGTAGAAGTTTCTGCAATCCAGTAGGACAGTATCGCTTTGTTCTTGACTTGCCTGAGATAAAAACTTTTCTACTTCTTTGTGAAATTCAGCTGGGCATAAATGTATTCCTAAAGTAAAACCAAAAACTTAAGTTAAAACAAAATAAAACCTAATCCCAATTGGCAAAATCTGACTTATGTGTCAGCTTCCTGTTCCATCCAAACCTCTTTGCTTTTATTTTTTATTTTATTTTGAGACAGGGTCTTGCTATGCAGTTGAGAATGGCTTTCTACTCACTACATAGTCTGGGATGGCCTTGATCTCACAGTAATCCTCTTGCCCCAGCCTCCCAAATGCTAGGATCAGAGGTATACACTACTACACCCAGCTATCCAAACCTCTCCTCATAATTACAACTGTCTCCTAATAGCAATATTTGATGATCATGAGAAAATAATTTAATAATCCCACATATCCTCAATCTCCCTAAGATGAGGACTACACGGATCTGGTAGTTCAGAAAAAAATTTGTTAAAAGAATTCTGCACCCTTATACTTGACTCAACCCGTATTAAAAATCAGGTAACTGGGATCTGTTTGGGTTTGTGGGTCCATCATATGGTCACTAGTGGGTCATGAAATGGCTACTGTTCTACCATCACTGTGCACAAAGGAGCTTTGGCATGTATGTGCTTGACTATAGATTTTAAATGTTCTAGACCAAGTCGAGCCCAAGTTCTAGGCTGAGAACCTTGGTTTAGGACAGCTGAGTTGGAATATGTATTTTTTTAAAATGCAAGAAGGCTAAGAATGTAGAAGTGTAAGTTTTCCACTAAGAAGACTTTCTTAGTTTGTGCACATGAGTAAAAGAGAAAAGGTTGAAAGGGCTGACAACAGCAGTGATATATGAGAAGAAAGGCAAGAGAGAAAGAAAAGGATAGAAAAGCTGGAAGACAGGATTGTAGTTCAGTATTAAAATACAAGGGGACAATAAAGAGAGCATCTCAGTATGGAAGAGCCCTTTTCCTCTTGACAGTCCAGGATAGAAATACTTCTGTACCTTTGGGGCTCCAGGCATCTCAGTAGATTGTGACAAACTCGGGGTAACTGACACTGGGATTTTCATGCTTCATGTAGGTGGGCCTCTGGTGACTCAGCCCCCACCCCACATCACCAAAGGAGCCTCACTCCACCCAATGACGAACCCCAACAGCTCCAACAATGCTCTGTACCCTGGAGAGACCAGAGGCCCCACAGCATAGCCGAGGAGTCTGTGCTTTGTCCTATCCAAGCTAGGATTATGAGGAAAATACAACCAGGCACATGTCACATATTTACATGGATACCACATCAATAGGGTAAAAAGAGAGGTTCAAAAATGTGATGAGAAGCACGGAAATCCACTAAGACCTCTACCTACAGGGAGCCAAACCTGTTCCCTGTGACTGCCGTATTACTGTTGCTGTCCTGGCCCTGAGAAGACCTAACTCAACAGTGACCTGGACTGACCTATTTAATAAAAGAGGTTCCTTTAAACCACCTGTTTCAAATGAAAGTAGCACAGCACTGTCAGGAGCTCACTTTCTCTCTAAGCCCTTAAACAGTGTCCTGTAGCACCTAGAAGGGCTATTGTGGTCATGCTGCTTTCTGCCTAGAGAGAGACACTAAGCTCTTATCTCCTCATGCTTCATGAGTCTCTTCCCCAGATGCTTATATCTTCCTATTTCCCTATGGCTTAATTCTTAGCCTTCTTTTAAATATGTACTAAAAAATGAATACCTTATTGCCAAGGAGTCCTTCCTACTTTCTGATGAAAGAAGATAACACTACCTATAAAACAGTCTGGGGGAAGAGGGGCAGGGAGAAGGATGAAGAAAAAAAAAGGAATCAAATCTGAATTTGATCAAGTCTCTAGTCCTAACCTGCCTAACATGGTGGCCACCATCACCTGTAGCTGACAAGTACTTGAATGTGGTTTGAGATGTGCTATAGTAAAGGTGACAAACTAGATGTCAAGTACTTAGCATAAATAAGTAAACTATCTCAACATAATTTTTATTTTGATTACATGTTGAAATATTATAGATTCACTGCACTAAGTAAATCATATTACTTAATTTTTAATTTTTATATGTGGCTACAAGAACATGTAAAATTACACTAAGTGGCTCATGTTTTTTATTAGCACTATTCTAAATCTACCAATTTATAGGAAATTCAGTGAACAAGGGAATATTCCATTGGATACAATCAGCATTATCCAGATTCTGACAAACTCTACAGGCCAAATTACCCACTTCCTTCAAAAACTAAACTGCAAGAGGGAAAAAAAAAGGAAGTCAGTCTATAAAGGCAGTTAAAGAGACATACTGATGAATCACAATAAATGACTTATATGAATCCTAATGGAAATTTTAAAAATTAGGACACAACTGAGAATTAACTGAGTAGACATTTGATATTAAGAAATTATGTCTAAAATATTTTAGGTTTGATAATTTTTATAGTTTACAGTTTTAAAACTATTAATAATTTAGAGTTATCTACTAAAGTGTTTGTAAATGAGATGACATGACACTGGAATTCCTTCAAAATGATCCAGTATGGGTCTCGGAGAGGGTACAAATCAAAGTTGGCCATGAGGGCCGGGGTTTTACCTCAGTGGCACCACTCCTGCCTTGCAAGTGCAAGGCCCTGAGTTCGATTCCCCAGTACCACAAAAAAATCAAAGTTGGCCATGAATTGATAACTGCTAAAGCTGTATGGAAGTTCACTGTACTATTTCCTCTATTTTTTAATATCTGGGAACTTTTCATAGTAAAAAGTAAAACAAAACCAAGAAAACCCACCAAACAAATGTCCTTCAACCATCTATAATAATCACAGGGAAGAGGACAAGAGAACATTCGACAACACAGCAAACTGCTTTGGTATTAAAAGCCACTTGCTTTCTGTGGCAAAAAGCCTATGTGCTCTATTTTGCTGATGAATTATTTACAAGTAATAATTACATTCTTCCCAGATTACTATCTTTAGAAAAAGAAAACAACTTCTTGTCAAACCATCACCAAGGAGAATAAGACAGGTCATTCTAAGGAGGAGTCTTCACTTAACACAAACACCATAGATAAAAACCAATTTTAGCACTAGATGGACCCAAACATTAGCCACCCCCCAGCTATTTAAAAGAGGAAATTCATCATGGTTCTTAATGACCAGTGTCTAATTTTCTCATTTATCCATTAACTTTTATTCTTTTTTTTTTTTTTTTTTTTT